TCTTCTTTCGCCATGAGACGACTTTGTTCTTGAAGCAGGCAATCTCAAAGCGCTTGCCGCCCTTGCGTTGCCGCACGATGGCCACGTTTGTCAGCCGCTTCTGCGTCACGGGCTGTGTCACTCGCGCAGACATGATGATGCGTGTGTGTTCCTTGACGAAGGTATCTTGTGTTTGCGTCTGTAACCGCTGCTGTGGATTGCTTGTGTGGAAAATGGATGCACGTGTGTGTGTGTGTGTGTGTGTGTGTGTGTGTGTGCGTGAGTGTGCATTGTGTGTGAATGGTATGGAAAGCATCCTCGAACACGCATATCAGCCACATACACACACGCATGCACGCACACACACATGCACGCAGATGCACGCAGATGCACACATGCACAATCCCACACACAAATCACGCACCTGCAGGCCAATGTCCATGGCAATTTCCTTGAGCTGCTGCCTGGAGAAGAGCGAGTTGTAGTTCTGCGCCGCCATCTTGTTCAAGTGGCTCACAAAGTGCTTCGCCTGCGCCTTCTTGCTCATCCCAGACCCAAGTTGTGAGCGCTGCACGCGTGTGTGATAGTGTGTGTGTGTGTGCAATTGTGCAATTGTGTGTGTGTGTGTGTGTTGACAATCCCGCGCATTGCAGACAACCGTACAACAGTCCACGACAGCACAGCAGCCCGCTACAGCGCACCCATCATCCAATCCCACTCCAACCGATCCATTCCCTCCGCTCGCTCACGCACCTCAAAGTCGGGCTGGCCAAACTCGTCGCAGTACGTGTCAAATAGGCTGCACCGCATAATCTCAACCACATCCAATGCATCCTGCCGGAGACGTGATTGCACGAGTGTTTAGGGAGGGGGGTTGAATGCACGACATGACCACACACACACACACACACACACACACACACACACACACACACACACACACACACACACACACACACACACACACACACACATCACATCACACATGTACACGGCAACGAGACACAACATACAGAAACGTGCACACAAACCACATCACAAACATTTACGAATCACACAAACCACATCGCACCACATTGCACACATTTACGCAAACCACATGGCACCACATCGCACACATTTACGCAAACCAAACAAACATACACACACACATCCACACACGCACAAACACACACACACACACACACACATCCACACACGCACGCAGCACACCTGCTTTGTGACCTCGACCCTGAGCTCCGAGCGGGCGCGGGCCTCTGCCAGGCGGACGAGCGACTCAATCTGGCGCGTGGTGATGGGCGTGCTGTCGGCGCTCTGATGCCGCTGCCGCAGGTCGAGGTAGAACTGTGCGGGGGAGGGCAGTTGCAATGCGATGAGGATGATGAGAATGATGAGGGTGTGACGATGGTGGTGACAATGCAAGTCATTGTTCACACACACACATATATGTATGCGCTCATACACACACATGTGCGCTCACACGAACACACGCACACACACACAGTTACACTCACACACACACACACACACACGACACGCCCGTTGTCGTACCTCCTGCAGAACCTGCGCCGCTTCGTCCGTGAGCCGCGGGTGCACGTACTTACGCGCATATGCCACGTACTTCCGCAGCAGCGACGGGGGAATTGGGTCGAGCTCCTCGTGGCGCCGCAGCCGGAGTCGGTCTGCCAGCGGCTGCGTCTGGCTGCCGCTTCCATCGTCATCGGCACCTGCTGGGAGCCGCGCAAAGTCGTCGAGGGCGGCGTTGCGCCGGCGGGCGCTGGTGGCGTGCAGTGCCATGACATGCTCGGAGAGCATACGATCGCGCTCCTCGTTGGCCTCATCGAGCAGGATGAACACGAGGTCAAAGCGCGACAGCAGCGGCGAGCTCATCTTGATGTTCTCGGACACCGTCTTGCCTTTGTTGTAGTGGCCGCCCACGGGGTTGGCTGGGCAGGTGGTGATGGTGCGCGCAGTGGTGGGACGGAAGTGAGGGAATGATGTGTGTGTGTGTGTGTGTGTGTGTGTGTGTGTGTGTGTGTGTGTGTGTGGATAGTGAGGAGGGTAGTGACATGGTTGTTTGTTGTTCCACTGTCAGACACGCACACGGACAGACAGACATACAGACATGCAGATACAATCACACAGCACCACACCCACAACACACGCACACAATCACATACACACACACACACAACCCTACGCATCTGATCACACACCTGCGGCGACGATTGCGGTGCGGGCCGGGAGACTGCAGACGACGCCGGCCTTTGCAATGCTGATGCTCTGTTGTTCCATGGCCTCAAGCAACGCCTGGTGCTGCTGCTTCATCTTGTCAAACTCATCAATGCAGCACAGGCCTTGGTCACCGAGCACAAGCGCGCCAGCCTCCAGCGCATAGTCACCCGTGCTGCCGTCCTTGTGCAGGGTCACCGTGAGCCCCGCCGTTGTCGTGGTGTTTCCGCACACATACACGCCGCGAGGCGCCACGTTGCTGAGCGCCTGAAGCATCTGCGACTTGCCCAGGCCAGGATCCCCAACAACAAGAACGTGTGGATCGCCGCGCAGCGGAATCTTGTTGGCGTCATTTGCAAACTTTTGGCAGCCGCCAAAGAGGGCGAGGACGAGGCCTGCCTTGACGAGCTCCTGCCCAAAGATGGTGGGGCACATGGAGTGCACAATGCACCGGAACGTGTCCTCCTCCCGCTGCACGCACGCAGGTGGGGTCGTGTGTACATGTTGGTGGTGTGGGGAGGAGGGAGTGAGCGCCGAGGAGAAGGGATCAGAACGTAGAATATAGCACATACACATGCACACATTCACACACACACACATACACGTACACACACATGCACACACACTCACACACTCGCACACATACACGTACATACGCGCGCACACATGTACACACACGCATAAACACACACACACACACGCACATACATACGCACACCTGGATGTTGTTGATTGCGTAGAGGTCGCGCCGCGTGTGTGCAAACAGTCCGTGGTCGCCCCCCACCCCAACCTGACCATCATCATCATCGTTGTCATCACCACCACCGCCGCCGCCGCCGCCGCCGCCATCGCCCGCGCTTGGCGAGTCGGTCAGCTGCTTGCGCGTGTTGAGCACGGAGTTTGCGTGGATGAACAGCAGGAACATGCTCTTGTCTGCGGCGCCGCCGCGACCACGTCGACCCTCGTCACTGCTCACCACCCGCACCTCCCCAGACACCACCACTGTGTCGCCCGGCGCACACGTGTCCACGAGGTCGTGCACCAACTCGCACTCCACCGTCCGCGGTATCCGTCTGAGGTACACGTGTGCGTATGCGTGTGTGTGTGTGTGTGTGTGTGTGTGTGTGTGTGTGTGTGTGTGTGTGTGTGTGTGTGTGTGTGTGTGTGTGTGTGTGTGTGT